CTCGTTTTGACACACTTCCAGCGTTGATAGCAGTGTCTCCTTTTTACACGACTGCCAGAATTCACAGCAAAGTTTCGTTTTGACACACTGCGAGCGTTGATAGCAGTGTCTCCTTACTGCCACTATTGATAGCAGTGTCTCGTTTTGACACACTTCCAGCGTTGATAGCAGTGTCTCCTTTTTACAGGCCTCCCAAAATTCATGGCAGAGTTTCGTTTGGAAACACTTCCAGCGTTGATAGCAGCGTCTCCATCTTACACGACTCTCCCCATTCATAGCAGTGACTCGTTTTGACACACTCCCAGCGTTGATAGCAGTGTCTCCCTTTTTACGCGACTCCCAATATTCATAGCAAAGTTTCGTTTTTGTCACTCGTTCACTCCAGCCAACTACAACTACTACTTCACTGTTACCACTGTTTCATCTCTCCTGCTCTTATTGCTACTACTACTGTGACTGTTACTGCTGCTGCATGCCTCCAGCTATGCTTCTACATATCGATGTTAGGTTGCTTTGCCGGGATAAGTTTGGCTTCTTCTGGCCTTCCTAGAGTTCCTCTTGGAGGCCTCTTGGGCCGTCTCAGGGGCCTCTTGGAGGCCTCTTGGGCCGTCTTGGGCCATCTTGGAGCTATCTTGGGCCGTCTTGGTGGGCTCCTGGCCCGTCTGACACCGTCGGAAGCCGTTTGGGGGGCCTCTCTGAGCCGAATTGGGGCTCTCTTGGGGTGTTCCACTGCCGTCTTGGAGGCCATCTTGGACGTCTTGGAGGCCTCTTTGGCCGTCTTACGGCTCCTTCGGGCCGTCTTGGGGGCCTCTTGGACCGTTCTGGGGCCATCTTGGATGCCCATTGGGCGATCTTGGGGCGATCTTTGTGGGCGCTTGGGCTGCCTCGGGCGTCGGAACGCCGAAAAGAAGCAACTGCCAACGCCCTTCAAAAACCCAGGGAACATGAATGATGATTTTGGCCTCTTCGGGCTTTCCTGGAGGACCTCTTGGAGGCCTCTTGGGCCGTCTCGGAGGCCTCTTAGGGGGCCTCTTGGGCCGTCTTGGGCCATCTTGAGGCTATCTTGGGCCGCCTTGGTGGCCTCTTGGGCGGATTGGGGGGCATCTCGGACCCTCTTGGGCCGTCTTGGAGGCCATCTTGGATCTTATTGGGCGAACGTGGAGGCCATCTAGGCCATCTTGGAAGCCATTTAGGGCCATCTTGGAGCCATCTGGACCCCGAATGTTTTGCAGCCGTGTCTTCTGGGTGGCCGGCGGCACGCGCCGAAGCGCCCGATGACAGTTATTGTTTGAAAAAAAGAAACCAGTAGGGTTCAGCACGCCGGGCACCCCTGTGGCAAGACCACAGTGGGCGGCGGATTTAATAGCCGTCGGTCCATCTCGCCACCATGCCTCGTTTGTGGGTGTGAAGTCAATTGGATGTTCGTTGGGATCTCGTGGGAGACTTCTCGTGGGTATCTTTGAGGCAGTTTGGACGCCTCTTGGGGGCTGTTTGGGGGCCTCTTGGGGTGTCTGTTTGGCCTCTTGGGGGCCTCTTGGGGCCCCCTGGGCGCCTCTTGTGGCCTCCTGGGCGCCTCTTGGGGCGGAAGGCCTGGATTTTCGGTTTGTGTTCCCTCTCGTGGGCCCCTTTTGGGGCCGTCTTGAAGCTCTATTGGGCCGTCTTGGGCGGTTCTTGGGCCGTCTTAGGGCCCTCTTGGGCCATTTGGGGGCCCTCTTGGAGGCCTCATAGGCCGTCTTGGGGCGGTCGTGGGGGCCTCTAGGCTTGTCTGGGAGCGTCCGGAAGCCGAAACGGCGAGCACGCCAAAGACGCTCAAAATCTAAGACTAACCAATGATTTAGGACTCTTGGAGCCCTCTTGGGCATCTTGGAAGCATCTTGGTCCGTTGTCAGGCCATCTTGGACGTCTTCGGCCGATCTCTGGGTGTCTCGGGGCCCTCTTGGGCCGGTCCGGAGGCCGCTTGGGGCCCTCTTGGCCCGTCTTGGGGCCTCCTTGGGCCCCCGACAAGTCCCGCGGGGAGGCGCACCTGAGCCCAGAGGGCACGCCGGGAGCCCCACCAAAGCTCGGGATTTGGAGCCTGGGCCCTTTGAAGCTTCGTTGGGAGCGCTTCAGGGATGACGCAAAGGACCTGATGGCACGCCCCATCCGTGCCCAGCGGCATGGTGGGGACCATGCCAGGTCAGGGACATGATATCTTGGCGTGGCCTAGCCAAAGAAAGGATGATGACACCAGCCGGCGCCCCGAGGGAAGCCACTTCGTACTCTCTGCGCACGAGCTAAGGCTGGAGCCGACGATGACATCGGCCAGCACCCCACAGAGCCCGCTCCTAGAAAGGTGCCAGTCTCCATCTGCCCGGCGGAGCGGCGCAGCAGTAGCAGCAGGCGGGGCAGAGGCGCAGAGCGAGGGGCGGGGAGCCCCCGCGCGAGCGCGAGCTGGCCCGAAGGCGCTTCGCGGAGCACCCGCAGTCGGAGGCCGAAGCCGGAGCTGAAGTGCACCGAAAAAGTGGGAGGGCCCAGCCCTGCAGGTCCGGTTGGAAGCACATCGGTGAGCGGAGCTGCAGCGTCCCCTTGAGTGCAGGCCCCCCAGAGCATCCGCCAGACAAGTCGGGTCTGCACCCTCGAGCCCGGCTGGGCCCTGGTCGGCAGAGAGAGGCGAGAGGCCAGCGGAGCGCATATATGGGGCGGTGGGGCGGGGGTAGACGGACGGGCGCACCACCGCGAGGAGGAGGAGGAGGAGGAGGAGGAGGACCAGTGCAAACCAAAGACCCATCAGCGATATTGCAATACACATTATCCTTTCCAAGTTCCTTTTCCACACGCCCCTACAGGGATTCATGTCCACTGAGACAAGTGCCCCGTTGGATGACAACCGCTTGAACATCCTGCACCGTGCCAGAACACCGTTCCGGGGATGTCAACGCCGCTGGTCACTTTATGTGGTGCGTATTGACGATCCCGCATCAGGTAATGTTACTGTTCCTGGGATTCCCACACCACGCATCAACGTAACTGTTGCGCCCTGACATCCCGACATCGTTCCAAACGAACTCTCTCGGAGGCTAAGCATGATCATGCTTTAAACTGCCCTACGTTCTTTAAACGAATGCGCACGGCGCTAAGGGGAGCGCCACAGTTTGGAAAGAAGCCGCCCTCGATCCACTAAATTCTGACAGCACTTTAACTCGAATGTGCGCGGCTCTTACCGGGAGAGCAACAATTTGAAAGCTGACCGCCGTCCATCCGCGACAGTTCTTGCACATGTTTAAGGCGAGTGAGCGTGGCGCTGAAGCGACTTGCACATTTTGGAATTGGACCCCCTCCATCCGTGAAGCTTGTTGTGCATATTTAAGCGGCTGTTTGCGGTTTTAGGGCGAGGGCCGCCTTCCATCCGCGAGACTTGCGCATTGTTTACAACGACTCTACATTGTCTACAACGATTCGCGCGGCGCTAACCCGAGAGCTACATTTTGAAAGCGGACCGCCTTCCATCGGTGAAGTTCTTGCAAAGGCTAAGCTTCAGGATCACAACGCTCGGCCCGACCAACGGACACGCCTGTTCTTGCGACAGGGAGGAGTTATTCCCAAGGAGCGCGAATGAAGGAGAAGGAGGAGGAGGAGGGCGAGGACCAGTGCAAACGCAAGGCTCACCAGCGATGTTCCAATACACCCTCCCTCCAAGTTCCCTCTTGATCTGCTCCTTTTATAAGGATTCATTTCCACAGAGAAGTGCCCCGTTGGAAGACAATCGTTTTGCGCCCAAGCACCATTCCTGGGATTCATTTTCATAACTCAACATTACTGTCGCGCCTTGACGATCCTCACTCGTGCCTAAGCACCGTCCACGTAACCGTCGCGCTCTGACAGTCCTTCGCCTCTCCAAAGCATTATTTCTGGATAGCCATCACGATCCCTGAACCTGTTGCGAGTTTTTAACACGACGTGCGCGGCGCTAAGGCGAGAGCCATATTTTGATATTGGATCGCACTCCATCCGTGAAGCTCTGGCACATGTTGAAAACGAATGTACACGGCGCTGAGGCGAGAGCCACATTTTCACAGCGGACCCCCTCCATCCGTGAAACTTGCTGCAACTGTTTAAGACGAGTGCGCGCGGCGCTAGGGTGAGAGCCACATTTTCAAAGCGGACCCCCTGCACCCGTGAAACTGTTGCACATCATTTCGAGCTTGAGGGTCATGAATGGTGAGAACGTCTCAGGCGGCACTCCCGGCCCGCCCTACGGACACGTCTTGGCTTGCGACAGGAGGGGGAGGGGGAGCAGAGGCAGGTCCTCCCTCTCCTGGTCAGCCCACGGGGGCGCACGGCCAGCAACGGGGGGAAAGGATTTTTGATTAGCCTTGACGCGAGGCTGCCCCGACGTGCGCATGACCAGTGTGTTGGGGGTGCCCTGGGCCTGAGCGCACCTGCAGTGGGGAAGAAGCAAGGGGGGGGTGAGAAGGAGGAGGGGGAGGCTCGGGAGAAGGAGGAGGAGTATCCTCCTCCTCCTATGCCGCGCGGCCTTGGGAAGGTGTGCGTGTGTGTGTGTGTGTGTAAGTAAGTAAGTAAGTAAGTAAGCGGTTCTGTTGGTTCTAGAGGAGAGGGAGTGGGAACGACTAGGGAAGCAGAAGCATGCGCGTGAGGGAGGCAGCGTGACTGGAGGTAGGGGTTCTGACGAGCTGATGCGTTGCAGGGGGCCTAGGGCCTCGGACTCCTCGGCAACGTGACACATTCGCCTCTGGTGTTGTTTTCCCATGCAGCCCAGGCATCGAGTACATTGGGGACGCGCGTCAAGAAACCAGGTGCTTTTCTTTGGGGTACCCCGAGTGTCTTCGCTCCGCGTGCTGCGCGGTGACCCCCCGCGACCATCAAATAAGCTGCTGCGTTCAGGGTGCTCAAGGTTCCTTCTCCCACGGTGCGTCTCCTACGCGTGTTCTCAGGGATGAGTTTCTTGCGAGGGTGTCTTGCGGCCGAGCCCGTGCTGTACTCGGAATCCCCGTTGCCTCATAGTTATTTCGGCTGGAGCATTGTAACTGCGGCATTTGTCACGAATTCTGCAAATGGCTGCCTCGTCGGACGCTGTCACCGATCAAGCACTTCTTGCTGTGTGGACCCGGGCATGGTGTCTCCATCAATTTGCTCCGTTTGCGAATGTATTGTTGGGCATCACAGGTGGAGCAATCGACAATTGGCCACTCCAAGGGTCGATGAATTGGTTGCATTGGCACGTCCGCTTCCCAATTGTACTGTTGGCCTGCGCTTGGCCAACGCCCCATATCGCTGTATTTGCGCATTTGTGCAACATCACGTTCTTCTATCTGGCACTGCCTTTCGTGTGGGATCATATGGTATGGGCGTCTTTGAGTGAGATGTTGTTCGTGGTTGCCGTGTTTGCGAGTGGTTGTCCAGGTTTTCCACGATATTTCATCGATATGGCAAGAGCGCACACTATCATATCGTATTTCTGCGCTGGCTTCTGGAAGCTCACCACCTCGTTCCTCGACCCGAAATATTCATGTGGAACTCTGCTCGTTGCCGAGTTGCTTTCCATATTACCAGGGCAGCTGTTCGAACCTGGCGGCGGTGTAGCTGAGACGCTGCTGCGGTGGGCCGGCTGGCTGACGGTTGCGGGTGAGTTTGCCATACCGCTCTCGTTGTTTTTCTTTCCGCGTGTCGGCGTCATGCTCGCGCTCTCCTTCCACCTTGTGATCCTCATGCTCCCCGTGAACGCGGCCGGGGGCTTCTCCCTCTCCTGCGCGACCATGCTCGTCTTGTTCGTGCCGCGGGGTGCCACGTTGGCCGTCACCTTGCTGTCCGGGTCCGTGGCCGGCGCAGCTGCCGCCGCGGCGGCCGTCGCCGTCGTGTTCTCGGCGCTGGGCGGCACGGCAGACGCCCATCTCGCCGGGTTCCTCGCCCTGGCGGTGCTGCTCGTGCTCGCCGCCGCCCTAGAGCCGAGGAGCCCAAATGATCCCGAGCGTTCCCCATCTGGGGCCATGCTCGGCCGCCTCCTCGCTGTCTCGCTTGCGCTGTGCCACGGTATCGTTGGACCAGTGCTCGGGGTCCAGCAGATGGCGTCCCTTACCATCAGGGGCCCCGACGAGGCAGGATGCGTTTCAAAACAGTGTGGAGGGCCGAGGGAAAGAATGTCCGATGGTCCCACAGCCGGTTTTCAAGCATGAATTCCACCTCTGTAGCGAAGATGGAAGCTTGTGAGGCCGGTGGCCTGTCTCCACCCTCAGCGCCGTCGTGCCTTTCGCTATCTTGGCCTGTTTGCGGGGATCCGCCAAAAAGTTGCATCCTGCTTCCTCGGGGCTCCTAACCGTGTATGGGAATGTCCAGCACTGGGGGCGCTCGAACCACTTGCTTGTGCCGACCGCGTTGCTGCAGGACCTCTTCTGGGACGCTCCCCCCGAAGCGCCCTTCCGGGGCGCCTTCGCTGGCGGAGCGGTTCGCGTGGATTCTTGGGACCTTCCGCCTGAGCTCTTGCGCACACCCGCGGACGCAGCAGGGCTGGTTCCACCGCGCGTGCGCAAGCTGTTGGCGTCCGTGGGGAACCCTGGCCGCTTCTACGTCCCCTACTACGCCCGCATGGCAGGCAGCGACTTCTTCGGCGACGTGGTGAGCGGCAACGGCTCGGCAGTAGACGGCCTCATGAGCTGGCGGCTGCAGCCCTTCGCCGTGCCCGCCTTCGAGCTGAGGCGCCTGCTGGCGCTGGCCCGCGCGCGGGGCGCCCCGTTCGAGCTGCGCTACACGCCGCTGCCGCGCGAGGCGCGCACGCCGGGGCAGTGGGCGCGGCACACGGGCCCGCAGGTGCGGGTGCGGGAGCGTCCCGAGGAGGCCCACGTGCTCTGCGAGGTGCTGGCGCCCGCCCAGCCCGCGAGGCCCTGCGGCCCCGACGAGCTGGCGGCGCTGCCCCCGCCCCCGCCCTGGATCGGCCGGGTGCTGCTCCAGTACCCGGTGCCGCTGGCGGAGGACAGCGGCGTGGAGTTGCCGTGCATCAGCTGAGGTGGCTTTTGGCCGTCGAGCCGTCTCAGGAGGGTGCGGGAAGGGTGGTCGGCCAGGCGGGGTGACACCCAACCCGATCAAGAAAACCAGCCTTCGTGAAATGACAAGAAAACAGAATGCGGAAACGCTTCGCGTTCTGCCCTGGGCCCAACCACGGATAAGCGTAGGGTTTGTTAGTTTGAGAGAGTGTTCGGGAACAGTTTGGGGGATTTGTGAGGGCGAGTCGGGGTCGTTGTCGTCCTACTTCTCCTCCTTGCCCTCCGGGCTTGAACACAAGCTGTGGTGTCTTTCGCCACGAGGTTGATGTAAGAGAGAGAGAGAGGGGCAGGAAAGAAGAGGCCACATGCACTTGACATGTGTCGCCTTCCTCCGACTGCAGGACTCGCCCGCTCTTCCTGGGAACTCGGGCATGCAGATTGTTTGTCCTTCCGTCGGGTCGCGACCTACTGTGGAAACCAGAGCAACAATGGACGATGAGGAAGGCGATTGCTTGTAGCATTCCTTTCATTGCACCAGGTGCCCTGTATTTAGGCGCCCTACTTTTCTTCTGTTTCGCCCACGCGTTTCGGCGTCTGGCTTAGCTTAGCGCAGCGTAGCTTGTCGCATTGGCTCTCATTGGGTGTGCGCGCGCGGCACCTCCTCCTTGTTGTTGTCACTGGATGTTCGGGAGTGCACCGTCTTCTGCTTGCCCTGCCTGGAAGATCGGCGAGCTCAGTGTTTAGGCGTGTTCTTTACGGGAGGCTGGAATTTCACCGACAGTTTCTTGCACATTCAGCGGCCATTGGTGGCGAATAGGGGGTGATTGCTGGACGGTTGGCGCGGGGGTGTATGCTGCTAGTTGCCGCTAGCCGGTTGCCTCTCGTTGCTTCTATTTGCCGCCAGTTGCCTCTAATCCGCCAACACCTCGACTGATATAGGCTTCCATACAGATGAACGTAGCCGAGGCGGCGACGGGGCGGCGACGAGGCGGCGACGAGGCGGCGACGAGTCGGAGACGAGGCGGCGACGGGGCGGCAACGGCGACAACAGAGCCGCCAGACCGGCAGACAGGCCCAATCCCTCGCCTGCACGTAAGAGTGACCCTTCGCCGGAGTGACCTCTGGTGCGGGCCAACTGGGGCCCGCCCGATCGCTGAATGCACTGCGATAGCAGCGGCTTCCGCGCCTGGCGCTGTCCCCCAAGGGCCCCCCCTTGTGGCCGCGCACTGGAGGTCACCCTCGCCCAGAGGGACACTCTCGCGTGTGGCCGATCCGAGGAGAAGCCAGAGCCCCGAAGTGCAGGCGCGGCTTGGGGAGGCAGCGCAACTTCACCAGAGCAGCTTCCGCCGAGGCCCTGGGCCCGCGCAGGAGAGGAGGAGAAGGAGGAAGAGGAGGAGGAGGAGGAGAAGGAGGAGATGGGGGGGAAGGGGGGGAAGGAGGAGGAGGGAGGAGGAGGAGAAGGAAGGGAGGAAGGCAGGAAGGGAGAGGAGGAGGAGGAGAGGAGGAGGAGGAGGAGGAGGAGGAGGAGGAGAAGGAGGACAGGTCAGGACACCCGCATAAGGGGGTCTACGTCAACACTGCGTGGAGCCGTGCGCCCGCGCAGCTTCCGCCGAGGCCCTGGGCCCGTGCGCTCGCTGCCGGTGCCCGGCGCGGCGAGCCCGGGCGCGGCGCCGCCCGCGCGGTCGCCCTGCCGCCCGGGGCCGCCCGCCTCCGCGCCAGAGCTCGCGCGGGCGGGGCTCCCGCTGCCGCCCAGGACTTGCCCCCCAGGGGGGGTCAGCGTCGTCTAGCCTGGGGGGTTGTCTGCAGAAAGGGAATCCCCCTCCCCCCCCAAAAAGCTCACAGCCAGGGGCGGGGGAGCTCCAAGACAAAGAATCAAAAATTAGGTATTTGCCCGGAGGCGTTGCTTGGGGGTCGGATAAACGACGCTGCGTCGTTTATCCGACCCTCATCCCCAGCATCCCACCACCCCAGCTGGATATATATATATATATATATATATATATATATATATATATATTCCCCTCGAAGCCCGAAGGGGACAGCCTAGATCCTCATCTAGGAGGGGGTAAATCGGAAATCGGCCAGCGGGGCACAGGCCACGCCAGTAGGGATAGGGATCGGTTCAACGATGCTCGTTGGAGGTGGGGGGGGGGCAGCGTCGCGGGGCAGGCGTCAGAGACGGAAGAGGTACAGTTGCAGCTATATCCTTGCCCCGTTTTCGCTTTTTTCGGTCTCCTGGGAGGCTCTCGTCGCCACAGCTGGATTCGCCTCTAAGTTCTCGGCAGAACGCACCCGGGGAGAGGCCCGGGGAGTCTACGGTCGGACACTTTTGGATAGCGTGTCGCTCCGCCGGTTCTCGTCCACCGCGCTTCGGCGCGGCACTCTATCCATTTCCCAGTCCCCAGGCCTCGAGGTCCCGAGCCCTTCCGAGCCTCCTGCCTTTTGGAGCTGAGCGGCACGCTACCTGCTTGCAGGGCATGGCATGTCGCCGGGGCCGCCGCGGCGACACGCTGAGCCGCTGAGCAAAAGTTCCTGACCACAGGCATCCACGGATATCGTGCTTCCAGCCAGGGCGTTTTTCCCCCAGTGTCGGCTCCTTCTACGACAGACCCTCACGACCGTTCGACATGGAAGAGCACATTCCCGTGTGCAGGCCCGCGCGGGACATCTCCTGTCAGCCCGGCCGACCGGCCGAGGACCTGGTTCTGTGCTGCAGCCTCCTCCTCTGAAAGATCTGGCCTCCGCGGCCCGTGTGACCATCAACAACAGATGCGGGACTCACACGATGGGCCTGTTTTCCACCACCACCACCAGAAGTTTGAGGGGGAGGGGGTCCTCCTCCTCCTCCTCCTCCTCCTCCTCCTCCTCCTCCTCCTCCTCCTCCTCCTCCTCCTCCTCCTCCTCCTCCTCCTCCCCCAAGTCCTGCTCCTCCTTCTCCTCCGCCTCCTCCTCCTCCTCGTCCTCCTCCTCATTGCCCCCTCCAACTCATGGTAGTGGTGGTGGAAAACAGGACCATCATCACAGCTATATCCCCGGGGAGGGGGTCGGGAGCTATGGAGCCACTGGCCGAACGAATCATGTTCTCGGGTGTCTGGGCCCGTGTCCAGCTGGTCCTTCCGGATGGGGCCCGAGCAGAGGAAGTCAGAGGATCGCGCCGCATCGCCGACGCATCGGCGATGCGGCTCGACGTGGATCCCGATTTTTTCTCCGTGCCCGGCATCGCCGATGCACCGCCCACGGCGCCGATGCATCGGCGAGGCATCGCCGACGCATCGGTGATCCAGCGCGATCCTCCGGGCCAGTTCACTCGGACCCCGTTTCAGGAGGCCTTCGGTCCATGCCCGCGCGGTCTGGATGCCGAGGCGCCGGCCCACGGGAGGCGCGATCCCACGGGATGCGCTCCGCGGGGGGGGGGCGTCCGCGATCCAAGCCGTCCCGTGTCCACGGGGTCGTGGTCGAGGAGCTCGGCCGCGAGGCCGTGGGTAAAGGGGAGGCCCATGCTGAGAAACACCCTGTTTGCCCCCAGGGTGCCCCTGGTTACTCGGGTTTCGGTGGCTGTGCTATCAATGGGAAGCGTGGCGTTCCCACACCACAGGTCAATGGACGTCCTGGGGTCTCAGGGTTGGGTGTCTTGTGGAAGCTTTCTTGTGGTCGGGCCCCGACTGTATGGACATTGTCTTGGTTCATCTTAGAAACACCCTGGGCGTTTTTTTGTTTTGTGTTCTCTAGTTTGGGCTCGTGGCAGTTTGAAAACGCTCATTAAACAAACGCAACGTGTTTCGTGTTTTTGCGCCTTGGGGGCTGTTCTGGGGGGGCGTTTTCGGGTTCGTCGCCGTGGTACAGCGTTGTTTTGTTGGTGTTGGTGTTGTTGTTGGTGTTGGTGTTGTTGTTGTTGTTGTTGTTGTTGTTGTTGTTGTTGTTGTTGTTGTTGTTGTTGTTGTTGTTGTTGTTTGTGTTGTTGTTGTTCTTGTTATTGTTCTTGTTATTGTTCTTGTTCTTGTTATTGTTCTTGTTCTTGTTATTGTTATTGTTATTGTTATTGTTCTTGTTGTTGTGTGTGTTTTTGTAGTACGTCGAAGGCTCCTCCTCGTCTCCTCTGCCAGCTTGGCGCCCGCGCTCCCCGCCCTGCCGCCGTGCGCCCTCTCTGCCCCCCTCTTCCCTCTCCCAGGTCGACGCACCAGCCCTGAGCCATGAGCCGCGTGCACGGGGTGAGGGGGGGGGGCCAAAGACCGGTCTCCCCGCGCGGAGACCTAGAAACGCAACAAAAAAACGTTCTGACAACGGTCTAACACCGGGAGGGGGGTGTCAACAGGGGAGGGCGGGCTTCCGCGACGGGTCGCCAGCGACGGCCACGGAAGAGCGAACCTGTATAGAGAAGACGATGGGGATACGCAAGGAGAAGGACACAGGCGATCCACGGATTCAAAAACGCTAAAACAACGCATCATTGTTGTTAGCGTTTTCATTTTTTCTTGAGACCCGAAGACGAGAACAAATCCAAGACGCCGAGCTGAAAACGCTAAAGTAACGCCCTGGGCATATTTAAGATGAACCATGGACATTGTGAGTACCGCCCATAAGAAGAGCCCAAACCTCCAGCATCTGGGAACAGAGCTTTCACAAGCTGGGCGCCCACGAGCCCAGTTTTGGGTGCCCCTATGGCCATCGGATCTACCCGCTACGAGGAACCAGATCTGGGGACGGCGCCACGAGTTCCGGGGACCCGCGTAGTGAACAAATCACGCCGTCGGCTGTCTGGGAAGACGGGTGGCGCAGGCTTTGACCTTCAGCGTCGTGGAAATACACACGATGAGCACGGATTTTGAGTTCGGCATCTAGAGCGTCGATACGGGCTTCAGAACCACCGCATATCAATCTAGGGCGAAAGCCAAGTACCTTGAGCACATATCCTGAAACGCGCTGGATGATTGGCGCCATGAGCTCGTCATGACATTGAAGGAACGTGTGTGGGGAGGGAGACTCGGAGTGTGGGAGCCTCCTCGAGGCCACCCGGGCCGACAGCTCGTGTACAGAATTTCCAGTCGCACGGGACATGCGTGCGAGTGGTGTGGTCTTCCTGCTCCCTGCCCCCACTCCGCTCTCCAGCGGAGTTTCGGGTGGGGTGTCCAG